TGGAAGGTGTAGGGTTTTCGGTTTAGAGCTTCCGAAAGTCCTGAGAGGACCGACTTGGGGTGAATGTTGGGTGCATGATAAAACGGAGTTGAGTCGAACCGCCTCTTGTGAGCTGGTTCAGGGCTTGGGCTGGAGGGTGAAGAATGCCAAGGCATCAAAGAATCATAGAGTCAAAGGGCTCCAGCGAGAAAGTTTGGGTGTGGGTGGGTGGTTCAGCATGGAGGACTTTCAGCCTGAATCGCGACTTTGAATCCCTCCACAAGGGGTACGTGCTGCTTTGGCCGAAGCAAGAATCGAGGTACTCTCTCAAGATACTTCACATCCCACACCACGTCCTGGATCCTGAGTTACAGACTGAACAAGCTCGACATCTGAATTTCGAAGTCTTCCAAGCCGAATCCCCAAGCAAGGCGCTCAAGTTTGAGATCCTGGACGGCACGAACCTCCACGATCGCGTGGTAGCAGCAGCGAAGAAGTAGGGCCGATGAGGACGACGGCTTTAGGCTCGAGGTTAAGGCTTGAAGGCAAGCCTCTTACCCAGACCATCCTGGTCGATACATTGTGTTAACAGAATCTTCGACCAAGGGTTCAGTTCTTGCCCGCTTTGAGTTTTAAATCAGGCTCCTGGGTCATGAGGGGGCTTCAAAAGCTCGAAACCAAAACTTCCTCTGCCGGCCTCACAGCATAGGAGCAGGCAACCTCCACCCAAAAACGCACAGCTGCAGGCCCTACACATGGCGAGCTTCAGCCATCGGCATAGGTGCAATCATGGATTCAGGGCTTCGCAGGTTGTAGGTTCCTGCGTGTCGATCCATTCTGCAGCTTAGTGTGCGGGGCTGAGATAATTCAAACACAGGGCCCTCGGACCCTTAGCTCTGAAAACCTCGACTCTTTCAACGGGGCTTTTGAGATGGAATCCCAAACCCGGAGCATTGAACGCTGACGGCATTGACGTTGAATCCCGAAGACTCAGTCCCGAGTCCCGAGCCGCGTGCCTTCTCTTCGGCAACATCAGCCACTGTGTGCAGTGGTGTTTGGCACCAAACTAGCCCCTCCTAGGTTGGCTCCTGTTCCGACATGGGGATTCGAGACCACTGAAGTTTGTGGTAGAGGGTAGAAGACAGACGGTTTAGAGCTTAGGAAAGACGTTTCGGTGTCAGTTTGGCACATCTCAACTCCTATGATTCGCTAGGCTTAGGATGACAGTTGCACGCCCCCATGTCGGGAAGGGACCAACAACTGAACTCCTGATTGTTTACAACCTCTGAGCAACACAGGACGAGACAGGAATTGATGTATGGTCCCGTGTCGTGTAAGTTGTCTTTGTCCTGGAGTCGATCGGTTCTTCTTCCGACAGGTTGTGGCATAGTTGTGAACGGTACTGACGGTACTCAGGTTCCAACGGGAATCATAGGGCTCATCATGGTTTCGTCGCTTTGAGGTCAAGGCGGGTTTAGCTTCAAGACCAGAGGCTTAAAACAAGGAGCGACGATTCCTTCGTGCGCAGAGGCGCTGACACAAACAACGTTGAACCCTAGGTCCTCAAGTGTCAGCAAAACATCGGCGAGATCGTCTTGTCGTGTGAACTTCTGTTCAGATGCACAGCAGGCATGTTTCAGGACGGATGAAGCCCAGCGATGCACATCGCGACGAATCGGCCGGGTACCGTACACTCTGTCATATACACGCGAAGCCGATTCTAGTAGTCTAATTTTCAGGGCTCTCAGCACTCTTCCCCGGGGTCCGGGTCCCTGTGCAGATCTGTGCGGAGGTTGCTCCGAAAGGTTGCAGTAATGATGACCATGGTGTTGCTGGTGATGATGACGGTGATGAGGATAGTGATGATGTTGATGATGTGAGCGTGACTGCTTCCACTGCCCCTACTCTCACCACGACAACGACAATAACCAGCAGTATCATCATCAGCATCAAAGAATCCCCATCAGCATCACCGCGGCGGTTTAGTTAGAAGAAGCAAGCCAATGAGATAAACATCTCGATCACACCGTGCATAGAAACACACCAATCACCGCAAAACCCCCGCCCCAACACGGAACTTGCGAACTGCACCTGTTCCAAGCCCCAAACAAGACTCCAAAGAGGCTTTTGAAGAAAGAGCCCACTGTATCTTCCAAGTAGAGTGATCTGTTGTGTGCTTTTGAAAATCAGCCGGTGCAGTCGCGGATCATGTTGGCCAGAGAGTCCTGGATGTGTCACGTGCGTCGTGAGGAGGAAACAAAAGTAATGCAAAGCCCGGTAGAGCTTATTCTTGCTGCCTCCTTAGACTTTGAACCGTAAACCCCAGAGTTCTAAATTGTACACTTCTATCGTGGGTCAAGCATATCTGCTCGGGTGCAGTGCGATCATTTCGATATTGGTGTTCAGATGCCGACACACATATTGCAAGGTGGTGACAGGGGTTGGGAATTAAGTGTTGCGGCCCCAGACAAGTGAAATAATGTTGCTGCACGATCTGCGTTCCTTTCTCCTCGCTGTCCCTTTGCAGATCGTAAGTTTCTTTGGTCCTCCTGTCCCTTTGCGCGTCGTAAGTTTCTTTGGCAGCTGCGGCAAAAGCCTAAGCCCCGCACAAACAGCCCCCAGGCCAACAAAGAGGCACCTGCAAACTGTCGTAAAAAGCTTTCTACCCGACTTTCGACACCATGACACCATGATGATACAACCCTGGCGACCTGAAAGAGTTGCTACGAAGTTTTAACCTTAATCCGCACATGTACGTCCGTACTCTGAAGTTTCGAGCCCTGCAACAAACGAGAGACACCCTACAAGTGCTTCCAGATACTGGTCGGGGCAGTACAAGAAAGCCCGCAAGTCCATTGTCGACACGAGATACCAGTTGAGCAAGGATTTCGTTAAAGCCCTGCAAAGATCAGAGCTCTAAAACCCCAAACCTAAAACAACTTCCGACCGATCCCTGGAACCCTGCCCAAATATCGAACCCCCAAACACCCCTAAGCCCTAAACCCTGAGACCCCCAAACGACTCGAAAGCCCCAAACCTCGCAGCTGGCCGAAGCTGCGTCCGGCCTGGGGCACTTCACGGCATCCGCCGAAGTCTCGGACCCCTGTTTTGGGGCTGCAGGCTTCGCGGGTTTGGTGGTATTAGTCGGCATGAGCGTGTGCATGTGTTTTGGGGTTTGGGAGGTAGGGCCTTTTAGTGTTTGGGGTGTACCAGGTCTGGGTTCGGGCTTGGGCACTTTATGGGGCCCTGTGGTGGGCTTCGTCTTTTGATCCAACGGGGCTTTAAGGTCAACCGTCAGGTTTACCATCGGCTGCGGTGCACCCATAAGCTCTCCCAAAATCTTATCATCAAAAGTATGCATGGCCACAAACAGAGCCCCGACTGGCTCATGCCGAGCCGATGTGACAAGGTGTCGGTGCAGGGCACCGGCCATTCCAGCAGCACGCTAGGGGCCGAGATTCTGTGCTGCGAACCAACCCCGTTTAGGACGGTTTAGGCTTTAGGATGCTTCAGGTTATCAGAGTTAAGTTGTGCTCGTCGATGGCTTCGTTGATGGAGCTTTGTTGCCGTGCCTCCTATTATCTTGAATCGAAGAACTTGCCAGAATGTGTTCTGCAGAAAGGCACGTCTATATAATTTGCATACCTGCGGTAGCCTTAGACCCTACGCGCAGTTTCAGCAAGCTGGTGGAAGCCGAACGTCGCATCACACCGCTCTGGAATCTTATTTTCTATCTTTGAAGTTCGTTTGCGATCGAGTCATCGACCGCATTTGAACCACCCGGAAGACATCCTGACACCGAAGGCGTAGAGGTAGTGGCCTAACCGCCAATCTGCAGCGACCCAGCGTCCGAAACGATGCACCCCAGGTATGCAGAGGCCAAATGCCGCATGCTGTACGTCCTCTCAGAGGATGGCTGGTGCCTCCCACCTTCCCGCAAGCCTTTGGTGGGTGGGCAGGGGGTGCAATGGCCTTGTGAGGGCTCCTGCAGAACTAAGGCTAAGGAACCGAAGCATCATCGAAGCCTAACCAGGTTTGAGGCGAGGGCTGTTTGCAGTTGGTTCTTTGCGGTGCTCTTGGCATGGTTGTTATGATGATTGGGGTCGCTAGCAGTCCTCCCGCGATTGACGGCGGTTTGCTGCTTTCATCCCCGGGCCAAGCAGACATGGCCGCCTGTAGCATCGCCCGGGCAAATAGGGCGGGTGTTGTGTGGGCCCTCATGGGCACCTCTAGGGTATCTACTAGGTATATGAGGATCCCAGGGTTAAGGGTCCATGCTAGGGGCCCATTGTTTCAACCTTAGAGAAGTCAATTTAGTGGGCATTGTGTATGAAAGAAACGTTGGGGTAGACTAGGGCGTGGCCTTTGTATGCCCCATTCAGCTCGAAGATATGCCAAAGCCCGCTGTTCGCCGCAATCTCGGAGCGTTTGGCTCTGGGACACCCCGCCAGCTGCGTTCGGGAAGCAGGCGGGCTCCATGAGTGTAACAGCAGCAATACTGAGGGTGTAGTGGTCGTCGTGATGGTGGCCATGGTGGCCGTGATAGTAGCAGCAGCAGCAGTGGCTCAGTAGCAGCAGTAGTAACTGTAGTAGCAGCAGTACCAGCAGCAGCAACAGCAGTAGTAGTAGTCGTAGTGGTAGTGGTAGTGGTAGTGGTAGTGGCAGTGGTAGTGGTAGTGGTAGTGCTGGTGGTAGTGGTGGTGCTGGTGGTAGTGGTAGTGGCAGTGGCAGAGGCAGTGGTAGTCTAGTGGTAGTGGATTTGTATTTGGCAGCGCGATAGCAGGTTGTGGACTCAGGGTTGGAGGTTTATTCTCTGAGGCTACGGCCGAAGGGCGAGCTTTTCATTCTGGTCTGCTTCGGAACAGGAGGTTTGGCTTGTGGGATTTAGGGTTGGAGGGCAAGATGGATCTTCGCTCGTCCGCGATTTCCGCCGTGCTGGCTCGCAGTGTTTAGTCACGTGCGTAGCTTAGTCCTACAGGGACGTTGCAGCGCGCATCGGCCTTTACAGCCGGGTACCGGCCATGCCAGGGATGCGCTTACCGGCGAACCAGGAGCAGATACCCACGTGGGCGCGCGAGCTGGACCGTGACTCGGCTGTCATCCATGGACCCAGATGGCTCCCCGAAGCCTAAGGTGCATTTCGGGTCGAGGCGAAGGTTTGAGCATATACTCCGAGGTGAGATGATGCAGCGCCCGCAGACACTCCAGGTGCCCATGGCAGAGAAGAGCAAGGCGAAGTTCTCAAAGATTCTGGGGAAAACCAATAATAGTTGCATGGGCAATGATAGCTTCAGTGTTCTAGTGTCTGGCAGCAGCATGGTGCATTAGTAGCAACAGCAGCAACAAGTGGTGGTAGCCGGCCTTGTAGTGGCTGCAGCGGGGAGGCACGCAATGCATTTGGCGATGTGAGCACCACGGCGAGCTCTGCCACCCGAGGAGACGCTTCGACACCACGTCCACGCTCTAGGGTGTATAAGTCAAATCGCAGCTTACTCAGGGTGTGAATTGCACAGCCAAATCCGCAAATGCATCGGCTGAGTTCCTCGTTGGCACTGTGCGACGGTGACATCTCGTGCACCATCTGGTACCGCACATAGGGTCCTGTCGAAGTACTTGTGTGTGTTTTTTCTGTTTCGGGATGGCATCTTCGCATGTGCAGCAGCTAGCCGTGCAGTGCAACTCCTACAAGTGGAAGCCATATTCCCTAAACCTCAGAAACTTCAAGCCCAACGGTGCGTGTCGAGGAGATCTTTCGTCTTCGTTCTCGTTCACAGGCTCGGAGGGGTATTGATCCCTAAGCTTACGCGTTCTCAGATGCTCTTTCCAATGCGGGTGCCTGGTAGGGGTTCGGATAATCGTAACCCTGACCCCGGACCCACAGTTTTGGACACGATCCTTAGCTCCGGAGCCCCAGGCTAAAAACCAAAGTGTGGAACTCAAACGACGAATCTCATGAGCCGAAAGGTTTCAGAGCCGCGAAGCAACTTGAAACTAGGCCCCGCAAAACGTGCCAGCACGAGGAGGGCCCTCTGGTTCTCGAAAAGCCAAAGCTTCGGATTTTGAGCTCGGCAATCTTTCAGCCTTCTCACAAATGCAATGCACGGCACCCCCCACCCCCAGTGCCAGGCAGCAACAGTGTCCTGGACGAGGACCGGGCAGGGGGACCCAGAGCCTGAGCGGTCTCGGCTTCAGGGGTTTAGGCGCTGAGGGTCTGAGTGAGGACGACTTTGGAGTTTATATTCGAGGCTTTCGGAATATGAGGCCAGACATTGCTCGGGTCTTCGAGCGGCGAAGGGGCCGTGACCGAAGGGTTCAGTCAGTTGGTGTGGACGGAAGAGTGTGTGATCCATCTCTGCAGTGGTCCTGTATCTCCTATGTAGCCATCGATCAGGCCCTACTCGGATCAATCAGCGCCGAAAGGCGAACATCCGAATTGATCCAGAATCCTAAAATATAGATCCTGCGCCCTCTGAACTCTGAAACCAACCTCCGAAACCATAATCGCGAGTAGTCGGTCATGACGATTGTTTCTTACTATCCTACAATGTCATCATAAAGACATAGTTGTAGCTGTGCTCTAAAATCTCTTTACTGTGCCAGCCCGAGAACCTTGCTTTCTTCAGGTCGAAAGAACACATCGGTTGGCGGAGTTTGTGCACCCCGGTCCAATTTTGACCGGGACGGGGGTTAGGGAGATTCAGAGTTCAGGGTTTGGGGCTTGCTTGAGAGGACTTGAAAGAGGGTCAGGCACCTGAACCCGAAACATTCCCAGCCTTGAGTCTTGAGGTTTTGGCGGGCACAAGTTGCAGAAGGGTAGAGGGTTCGCTGTTGGGGCAGCTGAGCTGTCTTTTGCATGCCGTAGCTTTGACTGGACGGTTTTACTCGGCTGAATCTAAGCTCCCAGCCTTTGCCGACTAGAGCACGGACGCCAGACGCTTGATTGCTCCGTACTGAGGTGCTAGCAAGCCTCGTGTAAGCCACGGTTCCTGATTACCCTCGGATTCCTAGGCATCCATAAAAATTGCATCGAGGCATCATGCCGCATCTATCATCCTGAACCCTAACCGGACATCGAAATCCTTAAACTTTGCGCCTTAAATCAACCCAAGACCCTAAACCTTTTTCTGCATGCCGACATCCCCAGATGCCCTACCCCGCCCAAGCCCCCCAAGACCAGCAAATCCCTACAGACCCTAACAGATCCCTTTGATAATCCCAAGACCTCCGAGTCCACCTAAACCCGACGTCCAGTTTTCGAACCTTTGAGGGTCCTTGGGCTCAGGATTCAGCTTGGTCAGGCGGAGCCTTTCTCTTGGAAGCAGGAGGGTGAGAGGGTGACTGGGCCAAGGGCCTTGGGGGTTTTGAGATTCAGGGTTTAGGGTGCTCAGGCGTTGGGGGTTTAGGGGGGTTTAGGGGGTTTAGGGTTTCAGGGATTTGGGGGTTTATGGGGTTTAAAGGGTGTTGGTGTTTGGGAGGTTTTGGGTTTGAGGGGTTTGGTGCCAGGGCCGTGGTGTCCCATGGAGACGGCAGTTCTTGTTTAACAGGTTTTCGGAATTGATGCTTCTTGAGGTTTGCGGTTCGGGCCTGTTCACTCGGATGGGGCATCTCGGCATGGGCTGACACGTAGCATGCAAGATCTTACTCGTGTTTATTCTCAGGTTTAACTTCAGAGGGAGCGGAGTGAGGCATGGAGTGTGTGGCCTTCCCCAAGCCATGAGGTCCACTCACAATCCGGCCAATTGAGCAGTGTTTTCATGCTTCTGTCTATTGTGCTACCGTCGTGCATGATGCATGAGGTTTCTTTGCAGCCTTCTGAAGCCACATGGAACCGGAGCCAAGGGGGTGATGAGCTGCAGCTCCTCGATCTGCTCCTTTCCGGGCTTAAACATGTCATTCTGGCGGCGACAAGGTGGGTGTCGGGGTTTCGCACCGGGACGCGAAACCAACCCTGAATCCTCTTCGGCTATGATGTGCCAGGTCCTCGCATCGCCTGCCCTAGGTTTTATCTGATTTCCTGCTGCCCACCTTCCAACGTTTACAGGCTGCTTATGGGCTTCTCCGGCCGTAGACTTCAGGCCTCTTGAGTCGATTCCCCTCGATACCATGTACCAGCTCCTAGCCGCTTGACAGACTCTTGAGTTCTCACGCAAGCCTCGGTACCGTTAGTCCAACATTGCGCAGCAACTGAACGAACTGGCCCAAGTCCCATTGCGGTCGTTTCGGGGTGTGCAGGTGAGGTTTTCTCGCTTTTCCACGAGCTTAGTCCTGTAATCCAGGCCTTTTCAAGCGGACCTTCGTGAGTCTCCATGATTCTGATGATGCTAATGGCGATGATGATCATGATTGCTGCTATGATAACGCTCAGCTTTACTTTAGCTTTAGTTTTGATTCTTATTGTTCATTCTGTGTTGTTATTGGAGTGTTATTGGTAGTCTTTCTTATCCTGAAACCTAGCCTATGACCGTCGGATCCCAAAACTCCGCATCCGAAGCCCCGAACCTCCAACACAATCCTATCTTTCAATGTGCCGGGGCTGTGAGATGGCAGACGATGTCGGATGAAGCTTTGTCAGGGTACAGGTTTCAGGGCCTGGTGCGTAGCTATAGTTAGGGGAGCAGTGATGAGACCTTGTCCCGCTCCCACTGCCTTCCACTCAATCCACCGCCCTCGTTCAGGTAGCGACTGTGAGATCGACCTCGCCATGGCGGCATCTTGTTTGCATGCCAGGGTTCGAAGCCATGTTTGTAGGAATCTTCACATCCTTGACACTTTACCATTCTGGTAGATGCTTCATTACAAAGCTACACTACAGCCAGGCCTTAACCCTGGGGGCATATGTGTATATATATATATATATGTAGAATATGTATATGCATGTATGTATGTATGTATGTATGTATATATATATATATATATATATATGTACACCTGTATGTATGTATATGTGTATGTATATATATATATATACATATATGTGTGTGTACATGTACATATATATATATATATATGTATGTATGTATGTATGTATGTATGTGTATATGTATATATATATATATATATATATTATGTGTGATATGTTGTTGTACGTACTGTATGCTGTGTATTGTATGTATTGTATGAATGTAAGTATGTAGGTATGCATGCATGTAACTATGTGTTTGTGCATGTTTTGCACAGGTACGGTTTACGGATAAACAAATAAGCACACACAATAGCAAACCGTAGCATACAACAAGCAAAGCATGGGTAAACACAAATCTATAAACAAATCAATCACTTGAGAAATCAATAGGCCACCAAACAGGCAGCTGCATAATCGTTAAAGCAAACAACACAATTGCAGATAAACTGATCAAATAGATTTTTTATGTATATGTATCTATATCCGTATGTATACACAATACTTATTCGTCCACCTCTCTATCTATATATCTATCTATTTGTCGATCAGCATATGCATATATACACATACAGATTCATGGATCCATACATCCATCTATCATTCCATCCATTCATCCAACATATGACATAGATGCATACATGCATGTTTGCACACGCATACATATATACATGTATATATATATATATACGAATACATACATATATATATATATATATATATCTGTATGTGCTTGCGCATGATGATGCGCGTAGACAGTGATAGATATATGCAAACAAGTCAATGAATGAGTGAACCGACAAATGCATGCATAAACGGGTATATGGATAAGTCACAATTCACAATACACTACACACGTAAGCGAAGCAACAAATATTTATTCAATGAAGTATATGTGCATGTGCACTTGCATATGTGTGCATGTATATGCGTATGTATGTAAATACATATATACGTAGATGCTCATGTAGATGCTGTATGTGTGTGTGTACATGTTTGTGTATACCTATTGATATGTACAAGTATAAGTGTGTCTGTCTGTATGTATGTATGTATGTATTTGTATGTATGTATGTATGTATGTATGTATGTATGTATGTATATATGCAATATACATACATACATACAGACAGGTACATACATGTATACATACACACACACACGCATATATATATGTATATATATATATATGTGTGTGTGTATGCACATATGTCATATGTATGTTTACATATATATATATGTATGCAAAAGTAACTGTCTACATACGTATATACATACACACATACACATACAGCCAACAGAACCAAAGCCCCGAAACCCAACCTACGGGCCGCACCTCCGACGAACCGTGGTGGTCGCGGTGGTTGTGGTTATGATAGTGGTGAATTTGACGGCGTCAAGGTTTGTCGCTTGCTTGGGCTGCGCAAGCAACAACAGCGGCAGGCGCAGCAGCAGCGGCAGCAGCAGCGGCAGCAGCAGCGGCAGCAGCAGTAGCAAAACAAGGATGCTAGCTAGCAACATGGCAGCGTCTGCAGCTGATGAACATCCGCAGCTGAAATACTGTAGCGATGACAACTGGCGCATGTAGTTATCGGGGTGATCGGA